TTTACGCGAAATTAAATACACATTTGGCTTAATTGAGTAGGCCTATTTATGAATATGGAGCAGGGAGGATGGGGTCAGCTTACACCTCTGGTGATCAACAAAAATAAATCAAGAAATGTCAAGAAAAATGAAATGATGCAACATGTCTAACCACCATATCGCTCATGACCTGGGGGTGTCTAATGCTGACTGCTGATGGCCATAGACACATAAATCACTGACATCATCTCCAGTTTATAACATTTAGAGAATAAATGCATGTGGAAACTTGAAATGTTTCAAATGTAAAATGACAGTTTAGAGCTCAGAACAAAAAATATTATAATTCCCACAGTGGCTATCAACCGATGGAGCATTAAATGGTGTCCTATGTAAATGCAAATTGTACCTTGTATTGTTGAAGCAGACAGTCCAGCAGTGAATTTAGTTAAGCATGCTGAGAACATGCGAGTGAACAAAGCTAAGTAAGACACCTCCTGCTGTTTGTAAACACTGTTTCTGTTTACCTTTTAGTAAGAGGACTAGATAGAGGGCATTTTGGGGAGAGGATTATTACATTAGTGCATGGCCATTCAATGCTGCTATAGTTAGATGGGTAATTGGGTCTGAAAACAGACACCATGGACAATGCAAAAAAACTAAATACATGTTCGCAGTTTAGTGCAACTCCTCGGAATGTTAAATCTCTGGTTTGTCATGCGAGATCATGCTGACTCTGAACATTGATAACAAGTATGTGGTTTTGTTGCAGCCAAACTTATTACATTACACTACTGTATATTAAAATGAATTTAGTCTAAATTTGCCCATACACTGTTCGAATTTCGGCTGTTTTTTGAGGAACTTGACGGAATTCGCAGTGTGTGCCGCTGTTGGCACCCTTTTGATTGGCATCCCTCGATCAGCTGATCGAAGAAGCCAGTCAGAAAATCCTCGATCAATCAGAGCTGGCATCTAGTGAGCTGCCCGCTCTGGTTGGGTATTCTGACAGGTGCCGGCGGCTCCTGTCAGAATACAGTGTATACAGCGGTATTCCTCGATCGACACGCTGTTTGTGTTGATGGAGGAATCTGGTCTATTTTTTTAATTCAGTCCACGGGTTGAACGAAACAGATCGATTAGTGTATGGCCAGCCTTATAAAGGAAAAAAACAAATACTGTAATAGAGTTAAACATCATTTAAAGCTCAAACACATTTGATTGCTTTCAGTAAAATCTCTAAACAGCTAAAATGTTCTCAATGATCATTCTGTCTAATAAAAGAAGAAAGGTAGGAAAGCAGGTTGAAAAATATCTGTCACATTGTGTGCTTCTCCACTGACCATGACGATGGATTAGTTTTAGCCTTTGATTGTAAAGCACCGACATATGCAGTGCTATATACATATATAAAATAAATAAAGGGTGCAGATTACAAACCCTAAATACAACATGTACAGAATGAAGACACAAGCAGAGAAGCAGGCACAAAATAATTAGCTTTCAATCCTAACATGTGGTGGGGGGCATTAGAAGTAATGGACTTGTTAGTAGAAAATCATACAGAAGGATATTACAGTAATTGAGGTAAGAAGTTACAAGGCCATCTACCAATACTCTACTGAATAAACATTGAGCAGCAGGATCTGGCTGTGAGAACTGAAGATGGGTTAAGGGTGGCACCAAGGCAAGCAAAATTCCAATCTAAATGAAGATGATTAGTTTAGTTTTGTCCCAGGTATTATTATTATTGCATAGTATTTATATAGCGCCAACAAATTGTGCAGCGCTTTACAATATAAGGAAGACATTACAATCACAATGCAATTCAAGACAAGATGGTAAGGAGGGGCCCTTACAATCTAAAAGGGGAGGGGGTAGTGATACACGAGGAGGGAGCTGCGTGGGGATGAATTGTTTGAGAAGGTAAAGGATACCTATAAAGATAGAAATTTAGAAACTACTCTTTTAGACTTGTTTTTAAAGGGTGCATGCTGTCGACCTGTCATCGTGATTCTTGCCTTACTTCCTAGCATCACTGATCAAAATAAGTATGCTTGAACTGATTGGTGCTGATTTTCTTAACATGAACCTGTTCCCAGACTAAGGACATAAAACTATTTTCATATTACAAGCAATAAAGTAGCTTAAAAATAAACCATTGCTGACTTTTCTAGCTGCTTTTAATGCAAAGTTACTTATTTTCAAAAATCCTCACAAATCTATAGTCGGGTTTCGAACGTTTTAGAAACATCTGCTGGTTATTCACATTAGCAGGCTGGCAGACTGCCTACATCTGTTCTTATAGAAAAGGCTGAGATTTCATTGCCTGTGTTATAAACCCCACAATGTGTATAGATACAGAGATGAATGAGGACTTGTTTTAGTGTGCATGATCTGTGCAAAGGTTCACTTTAACACTAGTCTTAGCTAATGAACTGTATAGGTGCAATATTGTTGGCCTCTCCGTGACTTCCCTAAAAATTCAGAGCGTTTTGAGGGACAAACTTTCCTATCATCTTAGTGGTTTATTGTAACAACAATGCTCAGTGGGTAATCCAAACTCCTACCTGATGTGTTAGCTAATTAATGCATTTGTATTACCTTTACGTCTTAAAAAAAACTCTTTAGACTTCTATTTTGATTTGAACTTTCTTACAGATTCAAAACCTGAAAAATGCACCTTTGTTCATATTATGGATATTAAAGTTGTAAAGTACATCTTATTGCAAACCATCATATATAAGCAGTGCTATTTTTCTGGCACTCACGCCAACTTTTTGCCCATAAAATGCAAGTGGGGGTAATCTTTGTTGTGGGCAGGGATGCACGGCGCATGCACATCCCTGGCGCCACAACCAAGATGGCCACCGACAATAAACCTCAATGCCGGCAGCCATTTTGGTTGTGGTAGAAGGTACGCACTGAGCATGTGGAAGATGATGGCTGCCAGGAATGAGGTTGATAGTCGGCAGACATGTTTTTGGTGGTAAACGGCTCCAGAAGACAAGCACCATCACCCTGTACGGGGTGATGCCGCTTGTCTTCTGGCACGTGTCTGTAAACTTGCTCCAATATACACCCTGTATAATCCAATATTCACTCTGTATGATCTCACTATAGTCACCAGGTATAATCCCAGTATAGTCACCTGGCTATATGATGTGAGTGCGGGTCGCTGACCACTGTCTCATTACTTAGTAAACACGGTGATATCTGCTCTGTGAGGAGCACACACTGTATATACATTGTAGCAATGTTTGGTACGCAGTCTATCAACTACCAGTGTTAATGATGTCATAGAAGAGCCAGAACAGCACCCATCTGTCAGTGGCATAGCACCTCTTCCCTGGCACTGTGCCAGTACATAGCCCAGGCTGAGCTGTACCACGCAGGTCACCGAGCTCAGCAACACCGGAGTCGCTCTTTCCGTCATGGTGACTGATTGTACCGGGTAGAGGGGGTGACACAGTGTCGAGCAATGTACATGCCCCCAGCTTCCATCCAATGAGAAGTGACCGCACTCAGCATCTCCCCATGTATAGCCCGCCCACTACTCTATAGAGTGCCCTGGCCATGCCTACTCGCTTTTTGGCATGGATAAGAAATCCAAAGGTGAATGTACTGCAAAAAACCCCAGAATAAAAGCCCTGTATATAAGGCATTTTTCTGCTTTTGCTAGAATTATTGCATAAAAAGGTCTGCAGTAGGGACATCATTAAACAAACATGAAGGCTGCCATTGCTAACCTCCTCCTGAAAATACTAGTTGCCCGTCAATATGACCTCGCTTCAATTTTGTCCACTGGGGAGATTCCTTCTTCCTTCCCCACTCTATCCAAAACTAAAACTCTGTTTTGCCTTTTTATACATTGCAGGTTCTCTTGCATTTTCTGAGACGCAAACTTACCCATACATGCAGATAGCATAATTCTGACTAATCCTGACATTTACATCCTAAGCAACTTGTAGATGGCAACTAAAGCAGTTGTAGATGACGGCATACATGAGTTTGTTATATGAATTCCTGTATCAGTCTTTCAATACACAAGCTGAATACCCACCAGAGTCTTTTTTCAGGTGCCTAATCTGCCTGATAGATGTTCTGTGTATACCTGTACACCAAGTGCTTGTACAGTATGTGGATTTCTTGGCTCCCTGTGGCAGTAGACCGTATCTATAGTGCTATGGTATTGCTCATGTTGTCTTTGCCCAAAATATACTGTAACTTCCCCAAACCTCTATGACAATCAGTGGCTCTGCCTCAGTTCTGATTCTTTGACCAGATGACCAAAGTTGCAGCCCCGGTTATGTGATTTGGGAAGGAGCCCAGAACATCTTTTTCCCCCACAAAAAAATATTTCACAACGACAAGAATCCTTTTTGTATTAAAGTGACATTAAACCCTCAGATTTTGTAACATAAACCAATACTGTAATGTGTGCCTTACTGTAATCCATGGTTGCTTCCCTTCTCTTTGCTGCTCTTCCTTTTAAATCCTCATGTCTTCTCATGCTTGGGGAGAACTTCCCTTTTCAGCTCAGGGCCTCTTCCTGTAGTGCTGGCTCAGGTTACAAGCCTATACAAAGACACCGTGTATCCATTCCTGAGACAAGGCAGTCTGCTGCAAAACAGAAGTTCTGCCCAGCATGACAACAGATACAGATTTAAAAGGAAGAGCAGCAAAGAGAAGGGAAGCTACCTTGGATTACAGTAAGGCACACATTACAGTATTGTTTTATGTTAAAAAATCTGAGGGTTTAATGTCACTTTAAACATCACACTGTCAATCCCTGCCTATAGAGTACAGGCCGAACCTAATTAGTCAGCTTAACACAATCTCCCTACCAGAGAACTGTGTAATGCAATTCTGATGTACTACTTAATAAAACGTATTAAAAGTATTTCTTCCAAAGTACTGTAATTACACATACATGTTGACAATAGTATTTTGTTTATTGCACACTGCCAAAACTATTTATAACAAACACAAGTAAAAAAATATTTTTTTTTTTGCATGATTAAATAATTAAAAACTCCCCAAAATGAATTCAACAGACAGATAGATATCTTCTATGTTGTCTTCTTCAGCCGTTTGTACCACTCTGGGGCTTCCTTTTTTGTCTGCAAAAATAAGACACAGAAAAGTCATACATTTTGTGCATATTTCTGAAATGTGATTTATACAATACAGATTATTATATAATGATTCTTAAAGAGCTACTGGTTCAAGCCAAGGACCAATGTCCAGGTATTTGGCCTAGCTGCAGAAGGAGACAATCTGTGCAATCATAAATACTAAAATACACATTCATTGTTAAAAGCAACAGTGCAAATGATATAAAAAATTGGAGGCTAACATTTCTTTCTCTAGGACAACACGCTATTGCAGAGATGCTCAGCCTTATTTAGGCTAGGGCGGCAGTCATTACTATGTTTTGCCAGGATTACTAAGGGCTCTTTTATACCATAGTATTGAGTTTAGTGCATGCTATTACACAGTGCACCTAGTATGTGGTACCTTGTACTAGGTGCACTGCCATTTGAATTGCACCTCAACACACCTCCTGGTGGCACAGCGCATTGGTCGGATCCTCAATATGGCAGTTGTGTTGCGGTGGAAAAAAAGTAGTGCATGTACTACATAAAAGTTCTTTCCCACAGAATATGGTAGGGAATCTTGCATCTAATAAGCTGAGGGCCAAACTCCATTTTAAAATTCCAACCTAAGACCTACAGGCTGTGTGTGAAAGATAGAGAGATGCAGCAACAAACTACAGAGAGAAGAATAGCACTTCCCACACTGTTGAAAAATATAATTAACCCTCCTTAAAAGTTAAAAATGCCTTAGTGCCATGGCATATTGGCTTATTGCTGATCAGGTTATAAACAAAACATATTCATTTTTTCAGACTTCTTCCTGCGCCTTGTTGAAATATAACACCAACCTGCTGGCATTTATTAGGCATTTGATTTTGCAAGGCAGATGAGTCATACAATAAGCTGTAAAAGGTATTCATTATCAGTCATGTTCCATTGCACCTGTACAGACTTTTATCTGAGAATTGTGTCCAACTGAAAACCAATTTGGATTGTTACTACATGGGAGCTGAAGACGCACAGGATGTTGTATTTATGCAACATTCCACTGTCAGCTGATAAGTGTTGTAGCCAATCAGCATGGCTATCTGCAAAGGTACAATACGCCCTAATGAGAAGAGTGGATACTTCAGCAGTGTATACAGGGATAAGTAAAATATTTAGTTATACATCCGCAAACCAAACAAACACATAAAACCGGCGCTGATGTCACCACACTATTGTATCCTAAATCCAAACTCCACTTGGGGGCAGCCCTCTCAACTTCAACTGGGGGGTCTTGAAGCACATATGAAAACCAAAAAGCAGTAAAAGGTGCCTCCTCCTTGTGTAATATAAATTATTAAAGAAAATTACAAATGGATAATGGTACTCAGAGCCCTGATGAAGGGGGCTCGCCCCTGAAATGAGTAAGCGCTGAATTGCATCACTGGCGAGTCCAGTGGACTACTCTGTTTGGTTATGCTGTCCAATGGAGTTCTGCAGGAAAGATCTTGGAGGGCTGGATTGGTGTTGTCCTCATCATGTTTGTGAGTACAATTATCCATTTTTTATTTTCTTTAATAGATGATATTACACAAGGGAGAGGCACCCTTTTCTGTTTTTCATTCAGTTATACAACCTAGGGAATAGGTAAAAGCTATTCCTACACCAGACTGATATGAGCAATACATATATTTTTATAAACCAGCCATTCTTGAATCAAACTGCTAGTCAGTATGCCCATTCTGCTACCTCCTGGCCCTGTTTTTTTTCTTCCTTGGTCACCACTGGACATAGGTGATGATGCTAATTCACTGGCCAGTGAGTATGCTGCAGGTAGAGAGGTGATATAGGAAGCTGAAATGTTAAACAAGTGTAACAACTTGGCCTGAGCCATCTCCATTTGGCGGTCACTGCTATGCATTACAGCAAGGCCACACACCAGTTGACACTTCAGCTTCATAATCTATATAGAGAACTCTGAACCTCCACCCAGTGCCTGCAGCAGCTTCACTACTACATTCTGACCTTGGCCTCTATTATAAATGACCCTTCCGTCTCCCTGGACCACTAGCCTGCCTGACTACATTTCTGCTTCTCACACTGGTGCTACATCTGGCCACCTGCTGGCTCTGCTGGTCTGACAACTTGCATTGTTCAAGCACCCATCCTTTATGTTGTTGGCTGTTGCCACAGGCAACGCAGAGGAACTACCAAGCTCCATGACAACATCTGGCCGAACTCATGTGTGTAAACCAAAAGAATTACAAATCCTTTGGCCAATAAATTGGTAAGCATATACTGTACTTAACTGTGTACTTAGGTATTTGTCATAAGTTTTGCCTTTAAGGAAGATTTACACAATACAAACAAAGAGGCTGCCCTTGCAGACTTCTTATTCTGCAATTGCTATTCTTTTCATCCTCTTGCTTGAATAGTTAGTAGCAGAAACCCCGAACAATTATGCAGCTAAGGATCAACCTATCTGATATTCCTACATGTTCTAGGAAAAGACTCAGAAAGTACTGAAGGCAGATGGTGAGAAAAACAGCAAGGCAACTAGCATTTTCAGAAGGTTACCAAAAAAGTCAATGTTTTGCATATAACATGCACTTCTTGTTGTCTCGCTCTTTACTTAAGTAGTCTAAGTAACAGTATTTCAGAAATGGTTACTAACTATCCCCTATGGGTTAATAGACACTTAACTTTGAAACAACCAACATCAATGTCAACATGAAAAAAACAGCAAACACAAGTGTCAGGCACAGTGGAAATTAAAACTTCAAATGAAGCCATAAAAATTGCAGATAAACAGAGAATTCACAATCCACAATTTTATGGCTGTTATAAAAACTGTCACCTGTAACAAATGGCAGTTTACGATTAACTACAAACAGCATTAAAGACAGGGATGAAACGCTTACAAACAAAGTAGGCTGAGGTAGATAGACATTGTCTTCCTGGCGAGGTTGCTCTGGAGATCCGGATTTCAGTTTAGCCGCCAGTTTCCGCTCATGTGCTTTAGAACGTGGCACAACTTCCACTTGACGCTTATTATGAAGGCTAACTAAGGCCTGTTTCATTTCTGCCAGTTCCTGAAAAAACAAAAGCAATACTTTTACTAGGCCTTGTTCACAAGAGAGTCCGTTTTCCATTGATATATACAAAAACAGATCAAAGAAAGCTTTATTATTTAAACATTATTGTGTAAAGCTTTTGAAACCTAAGGGGTGGTTTATGAAGGATGTAGAAAAGTGACTCTTTTGTCTACAGTAACAAAGATTCATCTTTGTGATGTGAAAAAAAAAAAAAAAAAGTTTTTTTCCTCCAGCTTTTATAAAGTAGCTCCCATGATCTCAAACACTTCGTATACTGTTCTCATAATGTAACAATGTGACGTAATGTGGTGTCCACCGGGTCTAGAAAGCCTCTTACTGCAATACAAAACATCCATGACCCCGAAACTTCTCTAGAAAGTACAGATCTCGTAAACTATTGCCATCTAACAAGGTGTAACATTCAACCTTATTTTTGAGTTGATCATGAATATATTGAGAGCCATTGTGCATTTATTCATTTTTTTGCATTGGAGCTTGGGTTACTGCAACCGTGATGAGTGAATTGCCGATGCAATGCACAGGCTCCAGGAGACTGTTCCCCCAACAATACGTCTATATGGAGGTATGGATCCTTTGGCTATGGAGTTGGAGGAAGTGAACAATGAACTACAAGTGTAGTGATGTCACCACACATGTACTCCATTGAGAACTAGTGTCCCTCTGCCAAAGTTTTTTTTACCACAGATCTTGTAAATGGAAATTAATGTTGGGGAAAGAGGCAAGCACAGCTGTGCCAAATAAATAAAATAAAATACAGAAGCCTGCAGGGAGAAGCACCCTGCAATTCAGGTAAATGTGTGATTGTGGGTGTGGGGTGCGGTTTGTCAGTGGGGGGGCTACAGAATGGCATCATGTTCCATATTAAACCCTAAGTAACATGAAACATGGTATTAAAGGTTGAATTAGCCTTTAAGCTAATGGTTTTATACTCATAGTTTGTCATGAGTATCTAAGGTTTTTTTGGTTTTGGGTGGTGAAGAAAATGTGTAAAACCCCTGTCAGTTTTTTTTTTGTCACTGTCCCATTCCCCTTCACTTCCTGTTTTGTACAAACATCATCACCTGAGAAAAAAATCTCTCAAAGTGAGTGTATTTTTTTCTTAGGCTGTCATTCCAGGAACAGGCGTCTCCAATGAAAGACTTCCCCAGTGTACCTGTAAAATGTTGGATTTCCCATCACTATTTGTCCCGGGAACAATTGTCACCAAAAACAAATAGAGAGGGTGATTGTCCCTAGCAGACCCAGACAGCAATACAAACCTCAGGGATTTAACACTTTACTACTTGATCCAAAAACAGGTTTTTAAGTTTTAGCTTCAGATATACTTTCAGGGCTTGTACACACCAAGTGCGGAGCAGATACAGAGTAGAGCAGAGTAGTTACAGAACGCATCAAACAATGCATCCACTGTATTCTAATTCCAGAGCATGTGGAAAAACTGCAGCATGCCCTATTTTTCCTGCTCTGGAACCCACCAAAATGCATGCAAACGCCCTGGAACGCACTGGACTACACCTGAAAGCCCATTTTAGGCTAAAAAGAAAAAAACAAAAACCGGACCGGAATGTGACAAAAACATGTCAAAATGTACTGCACTGCATATGCAGAAACTCATGCAGATCTGGTCCGGATTTGGCGTGAACAAGCCCTAGGACTCATTCTCCTTTGGACAATGTTAGACAACTAGAACTGAATGAGTGGATACTTTAAGTTTTTGGTGGAATTCTAGCCAAGACATTTTTCTAGTTTTGGATAAGGTTAGGAAGGTTTAGTACCCATGTCTGGTTTCTTCTGTTTTCTGTGAAAACACAATTTGTCCTGGTGATTGTGAAGAATTGTGAAGATCAGGAAAGAAGGGGAGAGGGAATATCAATTACGCAAATATATTCAACAACCAACAGTCTGGCCACCTCTGTTGCAGCTTTCCGTTATGGCTTATGCAGCTTTGAATTGCAGCTATTGCCCTTTATAATGGGATGTGATCAAGTCACCAGACTTGTGCAACATTTTATGGGCTCCCATCCAGTGTTTACAACCACAATTAAATAAGTAGTTTTAGGGGAATATGCAGGTCACTAAAAGATGATGTACAAAAATATTCGATGCATGTAAATAATTGGTTCAAGGACCTTTTGCATTTGCAGGCATGAGTGCGTGTTTGACACATTTTTATTTAAACATGGTTTATTGAACTCAGTTATACATAAGTATAAAGCACATATCTGTTCACTGTTACAGTAATCATATAAAAAACATCTTAGTACATACAGGTGAAACTCGAATAATTAGAATATCGTGCAAAAGTAATTGCAGTAAGTGCTGCAAAAGGAGCCCAAACCAAGTACTGAGTACATATGCATGCTTGTACTTTTCAGAGGTCCGATATTGTTCTATTGATTGCATGCAATAATCTACTTTTTTGAGGTTGTGGATTTGGGGTTCTTGGGGTTTTCATGAGCTGTAAGCCATAATCATCACAATTATGACAAATCACGGCTTGAATTATCTTGCTTTGCATGTAATGAGTCTATCTCATATATTAGTTTCACCTTTTAAGTTGCATTAGTGAAATAAATGAACTTTGCACGATATTCTAATTATTCGAGTTTCACCTGTATATGTTTCATTAAAAAAAAAAAAACTCCTGCAACTTCAACCTCAAATCAGTCCCAATATCTGCATCTTCACAACTCAGATCAGCCCCAATTCCTGTATCTCAGATGAGCCCCAATTCTTGCAACTTCCAATTGAAGATCAGCTCTCTCCTCAACCTTCACATCTCAGATCAGTCCCAATTCCTGACCCTTCATACCTCAGATCAACCCCAATTCATGCAACTTCAAACTATAGATTAATTATATTAAGGAACCAGGTCGGCTAGTCAATAGCAGGTAGAGTGCAAAATAAGCAAGTTATCTAGGTAATGTAGAATGCAAGTTCTAAGTTCAGCATGCAAGAGCCTTTCACAGCTGTGGAAGTTTCTATATGATATCCATTAAAGCGATATATTTCTCCTGCCTGTCCTATTTACTAAAACAAGACAGACAGCATATGCCAAGTTATTTAGCATTAACTATTTGCACAACTCAGCCATGTGCAGTGGCATGTTAAAGCATCTCAACTGCACAGCAGCTGTTTCAGTGGACTGCATAGCTGATGCCAATATGCTGCTTCGAGTTGTAAACTCTGCACACACGTTGCCAAGGGGATACATAGCCAGAATTGCTTGATGAAAATAGCTCAGACAAGTATATTAGCATCTACAAGCTCTATCATTAGAGATAAATGAGGCTATGTTTTGACACTAACAAGTGGTCTGCACACACGTTATAGGAGCTCTGAAAAAGAAACAACACAGAGCAGTAAAAGGTTTACAGGGAAATCTAGGGATGTAATACCCCTTCTGTTTCATTACCTCATTACCTAAAAAGATATTAAGGACACAAGGCTTGCATTAGTGAAAAGCTGACAACTACACTATATGGCCAAAAGTATGTGGACACTCCTCTAAATTATTAGACTCAGGTGAAGGGCATGGTTTTTGCTGCAGCATACAAATATAAGACAGGCCCTTCTCTGTTGCAGCATGACTGTGTCCCTGCACACAAAGACAAGCCCATAAAGACATTGTGTGATGAGTTTGTAGTGGAGAAACGTGAGTGGGTTGCACAAAGCTCTGACCACAATCACCAAGAGAGTTATTCACAAACCTAGCAGAAGGATCAGCTGTGGCTGCGGCTGATCCTTCGGCTAGCTTCGGCCGCCGGAGCCCTTAGGTTTAGTAGAACCGGAGGGCTGCTGTACGGGCTATTCGCTATATAGCCAGTACAGCTCCCGAAGCTGGCCGAGCCGAAGGCATATGCTTCGGCTCAACTGAGCCCAAGTGAAACCCGAAGCGGGGAAAGCCTTCCGATTGATAGCTGGGCAGAGCCAATCGTGATCTCACGGTTGGCTCTGCCCAGTTGCAATGACAGATCAGTGTCCACAGGTTACCTGGGGACGCTGAACTGTCATTAAACAATGACAACTTGGCGGAGTCGGACGTTCGGCTATTCACTCACTGCTGTTCAGTCCCTATGAGAATAGGCCGAATGGCAGCGAGTACCCTGCCGGAGGTTCGGCTCAGCCTATCCAGATGTTGGATCGGCTGAGTCGAACTCCTTCTGCACTTTGGCTCAGCATGCTGAGCATGATCAGCTGAACCGAAGCCAGCCAAAGCAAGCTGCTGTATGGCTGAAATCAGCTGTACAAGCCTGAAGTGAATAGCTGAACAGTGTTCGGCTCAATTCACTTTGGGTGGGTTATTCACTCGGCTGCCTTCGGCAACCCTCCAAAATATTTTGAAAAGATTTCCTATATGAGTGGAAGGGGTTATAACCACAAAGGGAAGGGGAGGAAGTGTTTATTTTTTGGAATAATATGTCAAAATATCTCATATAGGTTCGTCTGTAAGGTCCTATTCACATGAGGCTTTAAGCTGGGGATTCTTGTGACAGGAATCCCAGGTGTGTCTGTACAAATGCGGCCACTGTGCCCATTCAAGTTGCTGACAGGGTGACAGTGGCAGCATCTGTCAGTGACAGTCTGCATGCAATTGTATATGTAACGATTTCCTGCCGTTCGGTATAGAGGATTGTCCCTAGACACAATCTATGTGCGTCCGGGAACAGTCATTTATCCCGTACCATTACATGCAGTCTACCGTTGACAGATGTGGCCGCTGTCAGCCTGTCATTAACCTAAATGGGCACAGCAGCTGAATCTGTACAGATGTATCTGCGATTCCTGCCATAAGTTCCTGCCACAGGAATCTCCAGCAGCAGCCTAAAGCCACGCGTGAATAGGGCATAAGGTGTCCACAAACATTTGGCCATATAACATATGCAACTTTACCAGATAAGTACCCTCAGAAATTAAGGAAATAAAAAGTGTAATCAAGAAGGCACAATCAACATGTATTAACATGCTATCAAATA